CAAGCCATCCGTACAATGCAAGGCGGTCGTCAGCGTCAGTGCCGGGTCAATAACAATCGGGCAGGTGGGTACAGGGGAGCAAGCGGTAGAATGGTCGGGTCACAAGCCAGGGTAGTCAGCAGGTACGCGGGCAGCGTGGTACAGAGGGTCAGGCAGAGGGATGGTCAGCGAACGACCGGGGTCAAGAAGCAGGAGAGGGTCAGCGTAATCAGAACAGGCAGAGTTTGGCAAAAAGGAAACGTACTAGCAGGACAACACAGGAACAGGAAACAAGGGAATGCAGGATTACAAGATACAGGGGCCCAGGAAAAAACACACACACCAAGGCAAGCAACTGCAGGTCTGGCCATCACTTAAATTTCACCTGCATAAGCAGTTTCAGGTGTTTGGCTTACTGCAGGGTGAGTCTCTGATTGCTGGGGAGCACCCGCTGGCCAGCCCTGGTACTGCAGCGAGCCCACAAGGCAGGTGAGGTCCCACCCACTACTGGCAAGTCCATTCCTAACAGACAAACTCAGGTTTATGTCTTGGATTCACCCTGCTGGTGGGCGAATGGGACAAACATACTAATTATCCAGAGCCTGCTTTGAAGCCCCTTCATCCGGCCCTATCCTCTCAGCTCCCCACCCATTTTCCTCTTTCTCTTAATTTATCCTTCACCTTGTTCCCTTGCGAATACCACCATAATAAATTAGGTTTATTCCCCTACCCTACATACTAAGTTTCAAGTGTCCATTGTGGATAAGCTGCTCTTGAACTATTTTGGTGGACTTATTAACATGTGGTCCCGCAGTCTAAAGGATCCATTCCCGTATTACACCTACCTACCCCGTCCTCTCTTTTAACCCCCCCCCCCCCTCCACACACACACACGCGCACACACTTTTTTTTTCTGGTTACACTGTTTGTTATGTAATTACATGTCCCTCACGCTACTGATAACTTTCACTCCTTAACCCCCTCTCCAGCCCTTTAAATGGTCTAAATGCCATGAGGCGGATGTGGGCATTCCAATCACGAGTGACTGCTGTGATTGGCAGGCACAGTGGTCACATGACTGGAAAAATCCCGATCAAACAAATTTGCATCTGGAGCTTTTCCACTCAACAAGAGGCCGCATATATGTGCCAAGTCCCCGGGAACTGCCTAAAGTGGTTGTAAAGCCTTACATATTCCCAGTGAAGTGACTGGCCTCAGGTGATATGCAGAGATAAAACAAATCCTCCTACATAGGTTGTACCTGTCTATATACAGCTCTTCTCTTCTCTAAATCCATTCAAAGTCCAGCATTTACACAGCTTGTGTGAGATTCCAGAAAGCAAGGGGCGGGAGCTTCAGTTAGACTCTGCTGAGCTCGGAAAGAGATGATTGTAGAGAAGAGACACACGCCCCCCTTTACACAGGAACATAGCTGAGGCCCCCCTTTACACAGGAACATAGCTGAGGCTGTCAGTCACAGGCTGTGTGCTGGAGCTTACTCCTCTGTCACCTTTTTTTTACTCTTGGTGTTAGGAAAACTTGTCAGAAGTGACGTATACAGATAGCAGAGGAAGTAGACAGCAGACAGAAATTACACTTAGTGTTCTGGATTGCACACTATGCAAAAATGCACACACTATAGAAAGATAAATGGTTAAAAGCTTTTGCTCTGCTGTAGCCCCACAGATTGGATGGCGGTGCCCTGTTGTGTGTTTTTGTACTATAGAAAGACATGCTTTATTCATTAATGTCCTGAGGTTTACAACCACTTGAAATTTACTCACAAATCCACACTGCTGCAATCTATTTTGTAATCTAATTACTGTGGGTAATATATGTCAATGGAAAATGTTCAATAAAATCATTAGAGCAAAAAAAAAAACTTTTGGCTGGAAATTCACTTAAAAAGCATTTTGCAAATGAAAAGTGTGAAGTGACCCAGTAAAACCAGAAGTCTGCTTCTTTGGCAAAACCTTTAATAATTCCTTTAAACGCTGTGTGCATTCGCTCTTATCACAGTGATATTACTGCTTTCTAGTTATATAGTAGGGACTAAAATCTTCCTACATCCACCTTTCTCTATATGTTTTTGAAAGGTAAATTAGTCACTAGTTAATTCAGAAGCATACCTTCCGTAAAAACACAGGAAACGTAGTTTACTAAATCCAGGACCCCTGCATTCACTATATCTGGTCTCCCACAATACACACAACATGGAAATGCAATTATTTTAGTAAATATATAAACTACTAAATACCTTTTCCCATCAGCAGTTGGAGCAGTCTTGTGACGTCTATCTGTGTCCAGCCCAGCACTAACTAAAGCTTATAGGAGAGAATTCTTTCTGCTCTAGGAGGATGGAAATCCCCTGACTCTGTCTGGACAGCGCTGATTGACCCTGTGATAATCACATACACTCTCCCAAGAAAAAAAGAAATATGAAATGTCTATTTCTCAAAATGAATCCCAATGGATTTATCAGCTCGGAACTATGGTGCCGAGGGGGGTTAAATGTAGATATTAATATCAATTGCTTCCTCCCATAGTAGGAATATATCCACCATTATACCTTTTATAAATTAGTGGCTCCTTTTCTTGGCATTTTTGTATATTTTTCTCAGCCTCCCACTTGCTCATAAAAAATATATTTGGCACTGTGGGGGCATACTTTGCCCCCATAGCTACACTATTTTGGCATAGAAACAGTGATTATGCCAAAAATAGTTGTCTTTCATTGCGAATTCTAATGCATTTATCATAAATGCTGTATGCTTAATTTTTTACATGGTTCTCTCTTCTACAGCATCTAGAGCATCCTTCTGTTTAATATTGGTGTATAATGACTCTACATCAATACTAGCTAATATATAATTATTATTTTTTTTTTTTGCTCTTAGTAGATTGATAAGTTCTTTACTATCCATAATATAATGATGGAAATCCCCAAGGTATAGGTTGCAGGAAATGATCCAAATACTCTCCTGTCCTGGAGAAAATTGAATCAATTCCATTGACAATTGGTCTACCTGGGGGTTTCTCTGAATTTTTATGTATTTTAGGAACTTGATATATAATTGTTGTTTTTTGTACCTATGATATTAAATACTTTGCTTCCTTTTTATCCAGGACTTCCTCTTTCTGTGCCCTTTTTACTAGTTTTATTAGTTTGGCCTTTAATTTGTTCCAGGATCCCCTTTAAGTTTCTCATATGTATCCTCATTATTAATCGATTAAGTTCCCTTTTAATAGTCATCTTTATTCAAGATAACTGTTCCCCCCCCCCCCCCCCCCCCCTTGTCCGCAGGTTAATAACTATATTTTTTTTGCTTCTTTTTTAATTCCTCCAATCCCTGTCTTATCTTTTTATTACCTCTGATGGGTTCTATATTGATGTTCTCAATTTCTTGTTCCATCATTAACCTAAACACACTGTAAACATTGGTTATTGCTAGATTTAGGGTTAAATCGAGATTGATTTTCTCAATCCACTATGTTGATGGTATGTATGTATGCCTACAGAAGCAGCAGATCTATATTTTAGCACAATTCGTTTTAGTATTATTTATCAAGGAGCATCTGTGGCGTCTTGCCACAGATTCTCAATTGGATTTAGGTCTGGACTTTGACTGGGCTATTCTAACACATGAATATGCTTTGATCTAAACCATTCCATTGTAGCTCTGGCTGTATTAAACAGGATAGGGTCGTTGTCCTGCTGGAAGGTGAACCTCTGCCCCAGTCTCAAGTCTTTTGCAGACTCTAACAGGTTTTTCTTCTACGATTGCCCTGTATTTGGCTCCATCCATCTTCCCATCAACTCTGATCAGCTTCCCTGTCCCAGCTAAAGAAAAGCATCTGCAGAACGTGATGCTGCCACCACCATGTTTCATGGTGGGGATGGTGTGTGTTCAGGGTGATGTGCAGTGTTAGTTTTCCACCACACATAACATTTTGCTTTTAGGCCAAAAAGTTAAATCTTGGTCTCATCTGACCAGAGCACCTTCTTCCACATGTTTGATGTGTCCCCCACATGTCTTCTCTCAAACTGCAAATGGGACTTCTTATGGCTTTCTTTCAACAATGGCTTTCTTCTTGCCACTCTTCCATAAAGGCCAGATTTGTGGAGTGCACGACTAATAGTTGTCCTGTGGACAGATTCTCCCACCTGAGCTGTGGATCTCTGCAGCTCCTCCAGAGTTACCATGAGCCTCTTGGCTGCTTCTCTGATTAATGCTCTCCTTGCCCAGCCTTTCAGTTTTTAGTGGACTGCCACGTCTTGGTAGGTTTGCAGTTGTGCCATACTCTTTCCATTTTCGGATGATGGATTGAACAGTGCTCCGTGAGATGTTCAAAGATAGGGATATTTTTTTTATAACCTAACCCTGCTTTAAACTTCTCAATAATTTTATCCATGACATGTCTGGTGTGTTCCTTGGCCTTCATGATGCCGTTTGTTCACTAACGTTCTCTAACAAACCTCTGAGGGCTTCACAGTACAGCTGTATTTATACTGAGATTACATTACACACAGGTGGACTCTATTTACTAATTAGGTGGGGCTGAATACAAATGCACTCAACACTTTTCAGATATTTATTTGAAAAAAAAAGTTTGTAACCCATTTATCATTGTCCTTCCACTTCACAAATATGTGCCACTTTGTGTTGGTCTGTCATATAAAATCCCAATAAAGTTCATTTACATTTTTGGTTGTAACATGACAAAATGTGGAAAATTTCAAGGGGTATGAATACCTTTTCAAGGCACTGTACATGGTACAGCAGGCACATATCAGAAATATAAAATGTTAGGTTTACACACTCTTTAAAGCTGATATATGCTCAGGCATTTGGCAAGTGCTTCGGTGTATAGGCAGCTTTATTGGCAGTCCATATTTATATATACAGTACAAGGAGAATGTTTAAAACTGAATTAATAACAAGAACAGATGAAATGTATGATAATGTTCCCTATTGGTGTTGGTAATAATAAAGTCTGTTATATAATTTTTTTTTTTACAGTGAGAGTCCCTCTTCTATTTTCTGCAATGCCTCTTCCAGTGATGAGGTCAATGATGTCCAAAGTAGTTTTGGAAAATGAACAAGGTAAAATGTTATACACTTTCTGTGAGCACAACCACAACACATACTAAGAGAAATTAAGGCCTTATGCATACAGGACGGTTTTGTATGAATACCTTACTCCTAGGGGTGTCGGGCAATAAACTCCCATGCATGTTAGCCTATGTGTCCATGCACACATAGGCCTTTAGCAGTGTTTAGAGGCAGGAAACAAAAAATCCACTGCCAGTACGTCCAGGAGCAGCAGAGTTTGGGCAGAAAAAATGCTTGACGCTTGTAAATGTGTCTAAACGTGTTTTAACGCTAGGTGCGTTTAGCGCTTGAGCATACATTCATATCAGTGGCCAGAATAAATGATTTATTGTGGTCAATAAACTGAAATAACACCCAAGTGTTTGATGCTTGTAAAGGCACCTAAGTGCTTTGAAAAGCTTTAGACGCTGCTTCAAGCGTCAGGCATTTTTTCTGCAAAAACACTGCTGGCTTTTTGAAGAGTTGAAAAAAATCTTGTTCATGAGGCCTAAAGAATAAGCCTACCCATAAATAAAAAAAACACTTTCATTTGATTCTGGTTGGTTTGATGCCATGTTACTTCCTTGAAATTGGCCTTTAAATGGGGACGTTTCTGTTTGAAGCGCCAGCAATACTGCAGCACTGCAGATGTGACATATCTCACATGGTGGCTAATGTTTTCAACCACCCTCTACTAGATGGTTCATTGGAATATGTAGAAAATTCTGTACTTCAGTATAAGCTGAGCAAGATGTGTTATAATTGCAAGGGATGTGGATCCAGAATTCCAGGAGAATCAAACCTATGAGTTTACCCAAAACTGAATAATCAGCTTTGGGTGGAGTTGCTATTTAATAAGTTGACGGCTTTTCATCAACTTACTGATTATGTTTTTTTATAGAAAATATGAAAAATGAAAATAGGTACCGAAGGGCTAAACATATATTGAGAGCAGTGGTGTAACGTTAAAGCAGAGTTCCACTCACACTATAAAAAACTAAAAGTCAGCAGCTACAAAGACTGTAGCTGCTGAATTTTAAAACACAGCCACTCACCTGTCCCATGATCCCACGGTGTCCTCCCCACAGCCCGTTTCACCATCCGTCTGGTGTTCCAGGCGCCGGCATCTTCACTGTGGGCACCCGGCTGTGACAGCTTGCGGCTTCACAGCCAGGTGCCCACTGCGCATGCGCGAGTAGTGGAAGTGGGAGTGGGTACCTGTGAATTTTGGGTACCCGCTCCCCAAAGGTGCCAATCCTTAATGGGGAGCAGGGGACCTTTCTTTAAAGCAGAACTTCCCCTTTTGGGTCCAGCTCCCCTTTACATATTAAGTAGTGGTGCACTAAAATGAAAATTCTGGTGCTGAAACCAAAACTTCAAAATGCACTTGGCTGAAAAAACCGAAATGCGCAGATTTTAAAAATGAATATATATATTTTTGGGAAAAAATATACTGTGATTAAAACAAAAATACCCCAATTTATTTCTAAAATATGAAAGAGGATGTTACGGTGAGTAAATAGATACCCAACATGTCACGCTTTAAAATTGCGCACACTCGTGGAATGGCATGAAACTGTGGTACTTAGAAATCTCCATGGGTGATGCTTTAAAAATTTCTACAGGTTAGCAGTGTAAAGTTACAGAGGAGGTCCTGTGCAAGAATTATTGCTCTTGCTCTGACGTTCGTGGTGATACCACATATGTAATTAGTGTTCAAACCACACACATGTGGGCATGGCCTACGTATGCGTTCACTACTACGTGTGAGCACGGGGGGACGGGGGGACTTTAAACTTTTTTTTTTTATTTAATTTTTTTTTTTCTTTTGCACTGTCCCTTTAAATATTTGTAATCACTTTTACTCTTATCACAAGAAATGCATGCATCCCTTCTGATAGAAATAATTAGTGACAGCTCCTCTTTATGGAGAGATATGGGGTCAATAAGAACCCACATCTCTCCTCTGCAATGTAAAGCATTGGATCAAAAAAAGCATTGATCTAGTGCTTTGAAAAAAATGGCCAGAACCGGAAGTGACATCGCTCCGGTCCTCCAAGGGCATGAGATGAGTGGAGGCCATCTTTTCTTCACTGATCTCCATGCCCAGCGCCGGGATCGTTTGATTGTTTCTCAGGTAAAGCTGAGAACTATCGAGCGGTGGGCGGTGGCAGTAGCGCTAGGGAGGGGTGGCGGCGACAGCGGGCGAGGGGTGGGGTTTTTTTTTGGCACCTGTATCGGTGCTTTTTAAAATTTTGGCAGACAGCCGAAAGGGGTGTTTTTGTCCGAAATATTTCGGTATGTGGGTATAATTAAGCTTTGACAATAAAACCTGGAAGCTGATTGGTTTCTGTGCAGAACTATACCAGACGTTGCATGTTCCAGTTTTAATAAATCTCCCCCATATTGTCATAGTTGACACTGCCAGCTGAGAGTTAGCCAGGGAGACTCATTAAAATTTTGCTATGGGACCCCATGATCCATAGTTCTGTGACTGAGAGAGCTTTTAATATTGTAGCAGGGCCTTAGGTTATACAGTACATGCTCCCAAGCTCAGTTTCCCCCTGATCTGTAATGAACAATCAGTTGTTAACCTCCCAGCCTTCTCCTTTCCCTAATGTGTTTGCATTGCACCCTCTAGCCCAGCTCCCACCCAACAGGTGGGCTAATGTTTGTTACAAATAGGACTATTCTAAATAAAGGTAAAATACACTTTATTAGAAATACAAATAATTATAATCCTATGTATGGGTTTTAGAAGAAAAAATATATACTCACCTAGGCAGATGCAGCATCTGTCCCCTGCTTGCTCTGCAGTAAGAACTAAGTGTTCAAACACCGCTGATCACTCAGTTCTCACCCTCAGCTCTGAGCAGAGAGCGGTGACCGCCAGTCACTGGCTCTCTGTTCTGCCCCCCAGCACTCACTGGAACATTGGGCTGTGGAGGGGGCAAGATGGGCTGGCTCAGGTTCTCTCCGGATCACTGAAAGGCTGTGTCAGCTGCTGGTCCAGGCTTCTGGGCGGATCCTGACCATATGGTCAGAATCTTTCCCCAGCCTGGACCCGCTTTGTGATGTCAGCCAACTTAGGGCTTTAGCTTTGGCTATACTTCTTTAAAAAAAAATATGTGAAAGTGAACATGAGCATAAAGGCAGTTGTGAATTTAGGCAAGATCCCATCGGCAGGTCACTGAAGAAAAGGAAAAAGGGACATTTACATTAGGTTTGGAGGTGGCATTAGGTAAGGGCAATGCAAATCTTGAATTAAAAACTATGTCACTCGACTTTATAAACATGGCAGTTTTTTTTTTTATTTCTTTAAAGCAGTGGTGTAGTCTTGGTCAGATCGTAATGCTGCTTTTTAAGTGGATTCCATAATTTTGGGTGGACTGACCATTTTACTTTCATTGGTCCTGGAATGGGGGCCCTTTCATGCTGAGACTTCGGGGACTGACATATCAAGACCCAGCTTCCATTACTATATATTGACACAAGGCCTCTTTTTTGAAGGTTCCAGGGCAAAAGTTGTTACATTTTATAAACTATAAAATTTTATACATTTTATTCTTATAAACCATCTAGAAGACACAAGGTCCAAAATACAAATCAAGTCCTGTATACAAAATTTGCTCACTAGTTGCTACCCTGATCAATGTTAGACTTTACTTTCACTTTGTACATTTGAACCCCAGACTTGTCATTCACAGCTGCTTTATTTCCTCTGTTTCAGGAGCCCTGTTTGCATGCATCGCCTGTCTGGAGAGTTTAACCGGAAGCCTGACCATCGTGTTTTACAACAGCATCTATGCAGCCACAGTCTTGTGGTTTCCAGGCTTTTGTTTCCTGTTATCAGCTGCACTCTGCTTAATTCCATTAGGAGTAGTGTGGTAAGAGGCTTTGTTTGTGGTATTTACACAAAAATCTAATTTCCTAGTTAAAAGAATTTTATATACATACCATCAACTAATTTAATTTTTTGTAAAGATTAGACATTATGTAATTACGATTCTAAAGGCCTCTTAGTCAAACAGAATAAGTTTGCGATGGACATGAGCTGTGAATTTGGTTACTGATTAGATTGGATGAGGATTCTTTTCCCTTATGGTAATGAATTTATTGATTGCTGGGATAGACTTTTATGTGCTTGCGGTAAAGATGGTTATACATGGACAAATACTGACATGCAATTTGGCTAATTTTGGTACAATTATTCCCTAAGTGAAGCAACAAACGAACAAAGAACAAATGTATAAGGAGTTTGATTGGAATCTGTTTATTTCTGTTAATGCCTTAAGCCGGCTATAGTTGGATTGAATCTCCACGGGTTCAGCAGGGATTGTTCAAGATTTGATCCATCTAGGAGCAGGCTGATTGTACTTAAGTCGTTCAATCGACGTGGGTACAACCAGCACGTTGGATTTTTAGCATGTCTGATTTTTAGCATGTCAGATTTTTAGCATGTGATTACTGCGGCTATAGCTGCTGTAATCATTGCATCTACCCTGCAAGGATGGCTTTCCACAACCCCCCTGCTGGGAAAACACAATAGCTCAGTGGGAGGGATACCCCCATCAACACACCCCTGTGGTTACAGAAAAGAAAGTTGCATGATCTATGGCTTGTCTTGAGATAGATGGCCTTTTTAAGAGTCAGCCACCCAATGTTTATAGGGTTCATTAAACTGTCCGAGCCGCCATCCTGCAGTGTGCACCAACAGCTATATTTTGCACTGTATTCAGTGGATCAGCCAAATGCTCACGCATACTGTATAGCTGCCGTTTATAGGGTCATCAATCCTCAGAAACAGCAGTTATTAAATCACTTTGTTTCTACTAAGTGACGCCCAATGGGGTGTTTAGGAAGCCCCTTAATCACCCAGCTACACAAATTGTACAGATGATTACAGATATGAAATGAGCATCGTCCAATCCAGCTGTTTATTCATGTGTCTGAGTAGATGCTGCCAAACAAATGCACAGTGCTGCCCAGATACTTTTTGGAAATTTTCTTGGCATACAACTAGGCCTTCCATAGGAAGCCTGTCAACAGGTTGGTGGGCATTAATTTTGAAGAGAATGGATTCTGAGCTGTACATATATACATAGAATGATTCAGGATGGAGAAGATGTCTAAATAGGGGCTGTGTAGTGCTTGGCAGGACACACAATAAAACATATTGGCATAACTACAGAAGTATAATGCATATTTATGTTCAATAGCAGGGGGCAGATAGGATAATTCACTTTTAAGTGCAAATACCCTTTAAGAAGAGAACATGCTAACATTTGTCTCTAATTTCTAATTGCAGGCTCTTGCTCTGTGTTGGCTATCAAGAAACGGACCATATTCTTCTTGTTAATGAAGAATCCAGCACTGAAGTGGAATCTTGAATGATAGAAATCATGACTGACAAGCACTTTAAATCTGAGACCACTTGTCATCCTCACTTCCTAAATACTTCTCTTTATTATGGCACCTGTTCCTGGCTGAACTAGTCTTTTTTTCCTTTTTCACCAGCATAAAATAAGGACCCTTGATCTATACAGTATTCACCAGGTTTGTTAATGAGTTAGATTTTGGTTATTTAATGCACACATGAGTTTAGGGGAGAACTTCATAAAAAAAAGTAAAATCTTTTGTGGAGGTAAGTGTAATATATACATTCGGTATGTTTTGTGACATCCTTTACTAGACACCCTCAGCTCTCTTCCTGTGCACTTGATGCCCACACATTTGTGATCACTGTTATGTTCTTTAAAGCCTACACTGAAGTGGTTGTCCCCTAGGAAGGCCACGAGTAGAACTGTTATGGTGCCTCCTTACAGGTGATAAAGGTTCACCCAGAGAATGGAGTCTAAGAACCAGTCAGTCTTCACCAGAGCACTCTGCAAAGGATTATGGCTAGGAACCCTAGTGGCCCCTGGATTACTTTGCTACAAACTGCCATCAGGTTGAGGCCCCCTAGTTGAAGATTTGCAACTGTGCAGAGACAGTGGGCAAGGCAGAAGACTGAAGATTAGTCTGATTCAAGCAGGGATTGTGACAAACCGCTAGAAGAGAGCAGGGGTCTTGGCAGGCAACAAGACGAGGGTAGTTAGGCAGTCTAGGTTTGCAATGAGTAGGCAATAGACAAGTCTGTAAGAAAGACAGTAGTCACGTTCAAGTAGAAGTAAAGGCAGGCAGTAAGCAGAGGGTAATGAAGCAGTCAAGGTTTGAAAAAGATAAGCAGTAGACAGGACAGAAGATGGGTCAGCAGCAATCATGCAAAAGCGGGCTTCAGTGTTTATAGTGACCAGGTAGCTTATAAGAACACGCGGCACATCCCTGTTCAAAGAATGTTGCTTAAATACCCTCTTAGCTACTCCCAGCATCATTAGCGTGTGCTGATGCCTGTTGGAAAACCAGGGTTGAACTGTAAGAAGTCAGAAGAAAATCCAGAGCTATAGCAGGGCAGAGAAAGCTGGAACAAAGCTGGAAATGAGCGAAGCTTGAACAGAGCATAGGGAGATTTAATGCATCATTTCATTGGGAAGGACACTGTGTAACTTTTCTGCAGTGCAAAGCATTTGACCTAATCTTCCTGCACTTTATCTTTAACAAGCTGCGATATGTTGGTGTACTTCATGCTCACTGACTTAGGAAATGCAATGAGTAAAGAGGATGCACAAAGTGCTGTGACCTGTAGCACTCTTCCAAGAAGATCATCTTCATATCAGTGTGCACCCCTTTATATAAGGGCTCATGTACACGGGGCATTTGTAAAACTCTTCTGAACTATGGAAACTGCTGGAAAACTTAGGTTAAAAAACGTCAGTTTAAACAGGTTTGCATACCGCGTTTATGCAAGTTTAGCCGTGTTTATGCGCGTTTTTGTTCAGAATCGTTTTTAAAAGATAACCTCAGGAGACCCTCCCAAATGCCCAGAATGCACTGAAAAATAGTAAATAATTAACTATTTCAGACATTTTGAGAGAAATAGAGAGAGCAGAAGCAGAGAGAGCAGTATGTGTTGAGATGACCTGTCTTTTCTGGTTGTATTCACTATGGATCCCATCATGACCATAATGCAGCATGCTCTACCATTTTTTCCTTCACGCGAAACCTGAAACTGACTGTGCTGGTGTACCAGGTCTATTTGAATACATGGAAAACGCTGTGCATGCATTTCTGATGATGAAAAAAGGCTCTGGACAGCATCTGGATATGGAACAGTTAAAAAACGCTTCTAAACACAAACACTTATAAACGCGGTTAACCGCGTTTACATGCATTTACAAGCATTTGGCATTTGAGTCGCCGGTAAAATCTACTCCCGAATGCGAGTTTGGTGCGTTAAAAAAAAGACTGTAAACGCAACTGCCTGTAAATGACATAGTGTAAATGGACACATAGGAAAACATTAGGGAGAGTTCAGGGGCTGCTGAAAAAAAAACGCTGAACAGCTCCTGAACGTGAGTTTATCAGCTGCAGTGTACATGAGCCCTAAGGCTGCGTTTCATGAATACCCCCTGGTGGCATCATCCTTTTTTCTTGTACCCCAAGACATATATAATTTATTACCAGTAATCCATCAGCATGTATATTTATTTTCTAAATTGTAAATTATCAGATGAGTCCAATATATAATTTACAGCGTTGTAGTGAATTTATTTTGATCCTCTAAATTGTGTAAAAAGGTGTTTGGTCCTCCTTATTCAAATGTCCATGCTGAGAAGACAGACTGAACCTGTATCCCTTCTGCACATACTCAGTTTAGTGTGTATTGCTAGAGAGGTTTTTTTTTCTTGGGAGAGTGCATGTGATCAGCACAGGGCCAATCAGCACTGTCCAGACAGACGTCAGGGGTTTTACATCCTTCTAGAGCAGAAAGAAAACTCCTAGAAGATTTACCCACTTTAACCAGTGCTCTGCTGAAGTCACAAGACTGCTCTAACTGCTGATGAGAAAAGGTATTTAGCAGTTTATATTTACTAAAATAATTGCACTTCCATGTTGTGTGTACTGTGGGAGACCAGATATAGTGAATGCAGGGTCCTGGGTTTAGTAATACTTTAAGTACTTAAAGCGATTCTAAAGGTTCCTTTTTTTTTTTTTAAATAACAAACATGTTCTACTTACCTGCTCTGTGCAGTGGTGTTGCACAGTGCAGCCTGGATCCTCCTCTTCTTGGGTCCCCCGCCGGTGCTCTTGGCCCCTCCTTTCTGTCGGGTGCCCCCATAGCAAGCAGCTTGCTATGGGGGCACCCAAGCAGGCTGTTCAGAAGTCGCTGCTCTGTGTGTCCATTCACACACAGAGCTGTGGCTTGGCCCCGCCCCCTCTCTCTCCTCATTGGCTGACTGGCTGTTATTGACAGCAGTGGGAGCCAACGGCACCCGCTTGCTGTCTCAGCCAATAAGGAGGCAGAGACCCGGGACAGCTGAGGCTGTTGTGCACCTAGATGGATCGTCGGGGCTGGGGGCACTGCTGTACACAGAAGGTTTTTTACCTTCATGCATAGAATGCATGAAGGTAAAAAACCTTGAGCCTTTACAACAACTTTAATACCAGATATATTTTTTAAATGTTGTAAATTTACTGGAGCTAGGAGTAAGGTAGGTATTTTCCCCCTAATTACAGTGCAGGGGAATCCCACTGCAAAGGTGGATTTTTGTTTTCATTTTCACAGATCACTATGATTCCCTCTACATGTAACTTTTAGAGAGATCACATTTTGTTACTTTGTCCAAACATGTAAGTATGGAACACCTTCTTTTAAGTTAGGCAGAATGCTTCTAAAAGTCCAAATAATGCTATGCATGAGCATGTCCTACTAAGAGTTCTGCAAACTTAAAACATGCCAGGGTTCAGGTTAAAGTTGGTAATCCAGTAGCATGACTAAAGAGTAGGTAACTAAGTTTACATGAATTCAGCTGCAGCATGACCCAAGAACCCAAGGTGCTCTGGTGAAGAGCAGCTTCAGATCCTCTATGTCACTGTTGGGCAGTAAGGATGCCCATTGCAGCTTCTTGACCAGTAGTAAAGTCTGGGAGGTTGGAAGAGGTGGGTCCAAGGGTGACTTATGCCTAGTATACACGATAAGAAAATCAGGAAAAAAATACCGACTTTGAAGCAATCGTACAATAATCTGATCGTTAGTACATAGCTTTCGAGAACCGATCACGACAGTTCATGCATAATTATCTGAAGGGACAGATGCGAAAAAATGTTCTTGTACGATTCCAGAACAAACAATATTTCATTTATTCAGTACAATATTTGTCCAAAAAAAAAGACTACGCATGCTCAGAAACAAAAGAATACATTACAATACAATACATTGCATCATTGTATTCTGTCATACGAGAATTTTCGTAACTTTAGTAACCTATTAGTTTTTGATATGAGGCTAGGATGCAAAAAAAAAAAACAACAATCATTCATCTGATATTCTCATTGTGTGTACAAGTCTTCAGAGTCTGAATTTGCATAATAGAGCTTCCCAAATTTCTGGCCATTCTGCAGTATGTGGATGCCAGCCCTTCAGTCTTGATGACCGTTTACCAGTTTTAAACTGCAAGGTTGAATTTAATGCTGGACTAGATATGAAATGGACTAGTCAATGTGTGAAAAAAAGATTTAATAAAGATTTATATAGTAATGATTTTCACCAGCCAAGTATTATATGAATGTTGTATTATGGCACTTGATCTCAGAATTTAATGATTAGATTTCTGAATTCTAATAATCGCAGTATGAAAAAGATCAATATGCTTTCTTTGTAACAGCACAAATTAAAGGGAAATTCTTTGCATCGCCATGTATTAAGTACTTAATACCAGAGATATTTTTGAAATTTTGTAACTAATGTTTTTTAGTTTTGTTATACATATAGGAGCATATTAAAATATATAACCAATCTGTTGAATGCGTGATGGTGATTATTCTGGGTCTGACTGCAATAATCAGTCTTCTGTTAGCAAATACAGAAATGTGCCACAATTTCTGTGTACAGTGTGCAGCTCTGTAGCTTCCCAGAATACCAGAATCAGCACTTTGAAGCAAACTGTGTATTAAAGTGGATCTATACTCACCTTCACTCCAAGCTGCGGTGTCCCGGAGCTCCTGTACTGGCCTCTGAAATCTTTGGCCTGTCTTCTTCTTGGTACCGATCTTCAAATGACGTGACCCCTACGCATGTGCAGGAGTTCATTCATCTCTGCATTGCTGAAATTTTCAAGAAGTTCATTCATCTCTGCATTGCTGAAATTTTCCAGGAGTTCATTCATCTCTGCATTGCTGAAATTTTCAAGGAGTTCATTCATCTCTGCATTGCTGAAATTTTCCAGGAGTTCATTCATCTCTGCATTGCCAAACTATTCCAGGAATTCATTCATCTCTGCATTGCGGAAATTTTCCAGAAGTTCATTCATCTCTGCATTGCTGAAAATTTTCCAGGAGTTCCTTCATCTCTGTATTGCTGAAATTTTCCACTGAGCTGGGCATGCATGAACAGAAAGGAAAGGCAGGTACAGGGCTTTAATGCAGAAGATATAGCATGTCTCTTCTGCAATTAAAAATGCTTGTACACATTTTTTTTTCTTTATTACAGTTCCTTTTTTTTGTGTAATAAAGAGACAATTCACCCAGTACGAATATATCTAAGTTATGGGTAGATGTCATTGGGCTGATTTGCTAACTGGCTTCTTATATCGTTTAAGAAACTTCCAAATTGCATTAAAGAAATATTGTTTTTCACATTGTGCAGCATCAGTACAGCACAAAAAAATCAAGCATGTATTCTCAACTCCAAGAGATCCTTCTATTGCTCTCAGCCTCCTCTAAATCTCCAAATTCCATTTTTTTTTTACTTTTGCTGCTGTGATTTGACTTCCTGTTAGAGGGTGACTACCCTCATTCTCCATGGTCCACCCTCTCTTGCTTGCTCCCTAGATGCACAAGGACTATGGACCGTGGCATTTGTAGTGTGCACAGAGCAGCGAACTTACAAATATGCAATGGTTATTCCAAACAATGAGGGGGAAAAGCAGAGGTTCAGGAGCTTACAGAGGAGGTTACAAGGAGGCAGAAAAAACACAGTAAGAAACTTTTTTTTTTTTTCTGCCAAATTCTGTAGCTTTCAGGGCCATTAAGATGTGGATGTGTATGTATTACTTTTAGAGAGTAAGGAAATCCAGTAGTACACTGACTCATCCTTTAATTCATTTAATTAATATTTATTTAAATTGTATACACAAGTATAATTAATTATTTTGCACATATTTCACTCATTTATATATTTTTTTAATTATTTATTGGTTTCTTAATTTTATTTATCCACTTTATAAAGATAAGTCTTTATAAAATACACCATAGTAGCTCACAAGAATCACGTTTTTTACACTGACTCATCCTGCTCTGCACATGCTCATGCTCAATTGCTCTTTATTTTTAGGCAGTGTGCCAAATTTGTAGAGGCCAGTCTTCTGACAGCCTAAAGATTTACTTCTGCTCAGGGGCTCTGGGCTTCAGCAAAATAGCAGCCTCCAGAAAGAAGAAATAAGTTCAATGCTGAAGGCAATTTACAATACACACTCATTTTGGGTAGCATAATTGTTAATGTGGAATGTATGTTCCTTGCTAAAGAACATAATTTTTTTTTTATCAAGTTGTTATGGGTCAAGTTCTGCTTTAAGTTTTCCATACATGCAATCAAATTGTTTCTTTACAAAGACACTATGAATTCTGAATTAACATTAGAAATGGATGATGAATTATCACCATGTGAGATGAGGAAGAAGGTCATTCAGGTCTTATAGCCAGTATTACCATTTAAATATTCATATGTATTGTAATGGTTTTAACTATATATTTGACTGTTTGATAAATGCATCAGAGGGACAGGAAGTAATGGTAAAGAGAGAACACAAAAACTTTGTTATTCATGGTAGCAAGAATACAGATGAACTACATTTACATATAAAGTACACAAATGAATACAGTTCAGTGTCCTTTAACCATTTCAATACCGGGCAATTTTACACCTTCCTGCCCAGGCCATCTTTCACGTTTCAGCGCTCTCACACTTTGAATGACAATTGCGCGGTCACACAACATTGTACCCAAACTAAAATTTTATCATTTTCTTCACACAACTAGAGCTTTCTTTTGGTGGTATTTAATCACTGCTGGGGTTTTTATTTTTTGCTAAATTAACAAAGAAAGACCAAACATTTTGAAAAAAAAAAACACGTTTTTCTTTGTTTCTGTTATAAAAATTTACAAATAATTGTTCTTCATAAATTTAGGCCAAGATGTATTCTGCTACATGTATTTGGTGAAAATAACCCAAATTAGGATGTATTTTTTAGTTTGTAGGAAAGTTATAGAGTTCACAAACTATGGTATAGATCTGATTATTGATCAATCCTGAAGTACTGACGGCCAATCTAATTTCTTGAGGTCCAAGAATGTCAGAATAGTACAGATATCCCCCAAATGACTCCTTTTTGCAAAGTAGACAGTCCGACGTACTTCATAAGAGGAATGGCGAGTTTTTTGAAGTTGTATGTTTTTGTCATAATTTTTTGGAAAATGAAAAAATTAAAAAAATTATTTTCACAATTTTTTTTTTACATACTGTCACCAGTGCAGTACAGGGTCATCATATAACTGGCATGGCGGTGAACAGGGACACTGGTGACAGTATGAAAAAAAAAAAATATATATATATATTTTTTTAATTTATTATTTTTAATTTTTTTATTATATTTTTTTAAAGATTTTTTTTCTTATTTTACTATGACAAAAGTAGTACAATGTTACCATAGTAACATGTAACATTGTACTACTTTGGGGAAGTGATCAGTATTTTTTTTTTTTTACACAATTTGCTTATAGCAAAGAATTACTTTACTATAAGCAAGCATTTACCTGAATGACATCGATTCATTCAGGTGTTTTTTTTTTTTTGTTTTTTTTTTTTTTTTGGTCACAGCTAATCACATGACATGTGCATGTGATTAGCTGTGACCATTCACAGCTAGGCAC